AAATAAAACAACTGCAACTCCTGAAATCCAATTCTAACATTCTTCACATTATACAGTTGTAAGATTATTTGGTTCTTCTTACCATTGCTAACTCTGAGAGACGAGACAGTCCAAGTAACTTCAAAACAGTGCTGATTTATTCAAAGGATCACAGGTAAAATTAACATTACACGCTCAGGTATCTTGCACCTCCAACATGCACGCAGGCAGATGTAAGATGAAAGACCCTGAACCCACCAGGCCTATACATTATATCCCCTCGGTTGGGCTAGCCCCATACTACACAGAAACGTCAACCGAGATGTCTCTGTTACCAGCTTTGCAGCTGGCCATAGCAGTAGTCAAAACATGAAGCAAATCAACGTGTGTGTGTCTGTTGATTAAGTGGTGTGTAGCTAAAAACATTCTCACGACCTCTAGTACATGTCGTGACTTAAACATAAGAACATATTATGGCTAAGGCTACAGTTTTACACGTCATAATAATAATATTAAACACCCTGTCTGCTGACAGTCATCAACTCTTCTCTCTAGTTATCCTTGACCAGATGTACCCTGTAGAAACTCATGAGCATGACTAAGCATTTAACAGTCTAACTAGACATCCTATCTCCACTAAACATTTCTAATACATAAAGTATCTATCCAATTTCTATCTGACTAAAAATATCTAACACAGTGCTTGAGCTCCGTTTTCTTATATGAAAGCTTCTGTGTATACGTCTTATTGATTTGTATCCATGTTATTTTGTCAGCCTGGTATGCCTGACATCGCAGATAACCCTGGGTTTACACGTATTAGTTTGAATTGTAGTTTGACATAGACCAGACTGATACGCCATTTATTTTGAAATTTGTGATCGGAAGTGCATCTTTCTGCTAGAGTGAATGACATTGGCCAACTTCAAAGGTAATACTGTCTTCCGTGGACGTTGTTTGTCATTGTCTACCAGGTTTGTTTGCGTTGATTTAAGCTGCGTCTGTTTATTTTGGCTCACGTTGTTAGTTTTGCCCTCGATTCTCTGCTTGTCTGTCTCATTCTCTCTCTCTCATTTACATTCGATATAAACAGGAATCAATTATAACTAGGCCTAAACAAGAACCAGTAAGCCCATTTCTACCAGACCCTTCTTTCTCTCAGAAGGAGTAGTTCCTTGTAGATTTAGCAGGCTTGCAGAACGATCGAGTACATATAAAAAGTGACTGAACCTCCACCAACTGGCCACAAGGTCGCGCAGTTGCATTTCAGACTTTTGTTTTCCCCTGGAAATTTGAGTTTTCAGTTAACCAACTAGTCTAACCCTACTGTGAAATGTTGTTTTTTATTTTTCTAATAATTAACCCTGCTTTTCAACAGATGGCATCCTCTGTATTACTGGTATTGCTTTTACTCCAGTTTGAACTTGGACAAAGCTCTCAGAAACATCTGCATGAAGATCATTATATTGGCCAACAGCACAACCCTGAACACGACATGAATGTCCTGCTGGGAGATGAGGTTGCTAAATATTTGAACTCATTTTCTTATACTCTTCAGCCCAATTTCTACTCTGCATTCATCACGTGCTCACCCTTTGCTCTGCTTATTTTATGTACTTTCAGGACACCGGGGAGCTAAAAAAACTCAGCCCAGCAGAACAGAGAAAAAAGATTATGGAGATTGTAAAGAAAATAGATACAAATGCTGACAATCTACTGAGTGCAGGTGACTTTACTGTATGTGTCTGGAAAGAAAGCAGAGATAAACAGAAATAATTAAAGGTCACACCCAGCCTGCTCTGTTTTTTCCTTCCCACAGAAGAGATCACTTTGTGGATTCAACAAGTCTACAGAAAATATGCCCTGGATGATGCAGAGGAGCGGTTCCCTGAATATGACACTGACAAAGACGGTGTTGTAACATGGGAGGAATACAACATGGTTGCCTATGGCCAGTTCTTTGATTTTGATGACGGTACTGTTTTGGAGGATCCAGAGCAAGAGTCTCTCAGACACGTAAGCATACTTTTATTGTCCTGTCAATAATCACATCATACCACAGCTTAATTTAACATGGGCTCATATCTCCAATTAGCTCCATCTGAAGGAGAGGAGGCGTTTTGACTTTGCTGATGTGGACGGCACACCTGGCCTTAATGTGACAGAGTTTCTTGCCTTCAGCCACCCATCTGAAGTGGATCACATGGCTGTAAGACGACTTGTGCTAACCCTGACTTGTTAATGCATTCTTCCACCTACTGTAAGAATGACATTTTTATTTCATGTTACAGTTTGTTTTACTTTTTTTCTGAAAGGATTTTGCCATTGAAGATGTGTTGAGTGAATACGACACAGATAAAGATGAATTCATCAGTCTGAGCGAATTTATTGGCGATGTTCGCGGTGATGGTAAGGAATGTGAAAATATTACAGAGATTAGTTCAAAACAGAGAATATATTTGTTGTTAGTTTACTCTGCTAAGCTCACTTTTCATCCACTTCATCATTAACTACTTTTTTCATCAGAGGATTCCCCTTCACAATGGGAAATAGAAGAAACAGTGCGATTTAAAGACCTCTATGACCAAGACAAGGATGGAAAGTTGAATCGAGAAGAGCAGCTACGCTGGGTTGCGCCTAACAGCTACGGTTC